ACTCCTCGCCTCAGGCCACTCCTCTGTCTACTCGCCACTCGCTCTCAGCTCTGCCTTCGGATGAGTCCGTAGAGTCGAGTGGCCCGTACCCAGAGCTTGTTGGCTGCCTCATGTACCCGATGACCTGCACTCGACCTGACCTTGCATACCCTCTGAGCATTCTTGCACGCTATGTTGCTCCTGGGAGACACCGACCAGAGCACATGGCTGCAGCGAAGAGGGTATTGCACTACCTGTGCAGTACGTCGGGCATGGGGCTAGTGCTTGGAGGGCGGAGTCCAGTGGTCCTTACAGGCCACGCGGACGCTTCTTGGGCTGACGACCAGGCTACGCAGCGGTCGTCACAGGGTTACACCTTCAGTCTTGGTTCCGGCTCTGTCTCGTGGCGGTCTACTCGTTCGTCTTCGGTTCTCGGCTCCAGTTGTGAGGCTGAGATCTACGCCGGGGCCATGGCTGCACAGGAGCTTCGCTGGCTCACCTACCTGCTGACTGACCTTGGAGAGCCGCCTCGTTCTCCTCCAGTGCTGTACGTAGACAACAAGGCCATGCTGGCCTTGTGTCGAGAGCAGCGCTTGGAGCACAGAACGAAGCACATTGCTCTCCGCTACTTCCTTGCTCGTGAGCTGCAGCAGCGTGGTCAGTTGCGACTTGCGTACATGGCCTCTGAGGCCAACACTGCTGATGTGTTCACCAAGGCACTCGCGCCTTGTGACCATCAGCGCTTTTGCACCCAGCTGGGTCTTGTGCCTGTCTTGCCTCACTTGCTCTCCTCTTGACTTTTCTTGTACTGTGACATATATAAACCTTCTCCTGCTTGTCTAGTTTTATATATATATGTCTATACTCCTGCATGTGAACTGGCCTCTGGCCCTGCTCTTGTGCTCGGACTGTGTGGTGACTTTGTGATCCACCCTGAGCTTGCTCTGCTTTGCTTTGCTTGACTGGTCTTGTGACCCCTTGTTCTCCCCCACTTTGCCTATGGGGGTGTGTCAGATTATTATAGCTGATGCATGTTTGTAGGCTATAGTGGGGTAGCACATATGGGGTACAGCTTTCTAGGGTTGTATTTGTACCCAACTCTGACTTAGTCATTCTCATTCCTGGTCATTTGTTTCACAGAAGGAACGTGGTTAGGCACACAAGCCAGGAGCGTACTGCTCTGATCACCATGTGAGAATAGGTAGGTAACGATAGTAGCCATAGCTAGGACTAACCTAGCTAGGCAAGAAGAAGTTAGGCAAAAGAGGAGGGTTGTACTAGCAAGCAATGGGATACAAATATGAAACCCTAAGGGGTTATACTCGCTATAGAGTACCCCACTGCAGGCTAGATAACAAATATGACATTCTGACACGAACTACCTCGCTGGCGGTCACCCGAGTCTTCAACGGTCCACGTCAACGCCATCACGATGAAACGGGTTGTTGCCGCGGGAGCTGACGTGTACGCAGTGGATATAGCACTAGTAGGAGAAGAGGAGCAGCCGAGCGATTTTCAGAAACTGTTGGCAGTGGTACCGCCCGTACTTCATGATCTATTGAAACGGTACCCGGGGATTTTTCCAGACGATTTACCGCAAGGACTGCCACCTCAGCGGGCGCATGACCATAGGATCGAGTTAGAACCGGGGGCACAGCCAACTGTACAGCGCCAGTTCAGAGTGACACAGCCCGAGCTCGACGAACTAAGGAAGCAGTTAGATTATTTGTTAGAGAAGCAGTTTATCCGACCGAGCTCGTCACCGTTCGCCGCACCGATACTGTTCACACCGAAAAAAGACGGAGGATTTCGCATGTGCATTGATTACCGAGCGCTCAACAGAGTAACAGTCAAATCGCGATACCCCATCCCCCGCGCCGACGAACTGATAGACCAGCTGCGAACAGCACGGGTATTTTCGAAAATAGACTTACGGGGGGGTTACCATCAAATTCGGGTCGAACCATCGGACTGCGCCAAGACAGCATTTAGGACTAGGTACGGGTCATTCGAGTACACGGTGATGCCTTTCGGGCTGACCAACGCGCCCGCAACATTTCAGATGACCATGAACGAGGCGTTTAGGCCACTTTTAGATAAATGCGTGATAGTTTACCTCGACGACATCCTCGTTTACAGTCGCGACCAGCAGCAACACTTAGTCGATCTCGAAGCAGTGTTTAAAATTTTAGAGGAACATCGGTTACTCACCAAGGGCTCCAAGTGCGAGTTTTTTCGGGATAGGCTAGAATTTTTAGGGCACCTTATTTCGGAGGCTGGGTTGAAATCGACCCCAAGAAGCTGGATGCCGTAAAAGCGTGGCATCCCCCGACGAACATCACGGAGCTGCAGAGTTTTTTAGGGTTCGTTAATTACGTTCGTCGGTTCGTCCCCGACATGGCACGATTAACAGCCCCGCTAACAGTTTTACTATGCAAGGGGGTCGCTTTTACGTGGGGGGAGAAAGAGCATGCTGCCTTTTCTGCCCTGAAACATGTTCTCTGTTCACCACCCGTCCTACGCATCGCTGACCCACATCGCCCCTTCGAAGTTGTTACAGACGCAAGCGACATCGCCATTGGAGCCGTACTGTTACAAGACTTCGGCAACGGCCTCCAGCCCATCGCCTACGAATCACGAAAACTGCATCCGCCTGAATGAAATTACCCGATACACGACCGCGAAATGCTCGCGATCGTGCATGCATTTAAGGTGTGGCGCTGCTACTTGACCGGCGTAGACGTAACAGTACGGACAGACCATCGATCCCTACAGTACCTCCGTGCACAGCCCCACCTCAGCCCACGACAGATTCGGTGGCTCGATTTCCTCGAGTCAAATTTCCATTATACGGTCACCTATAAAAAAGGAGCCTCGAATATCGCCGACGCACTGACCCGCCCCACTGCCCAGATCCATGCGATACTACTCGCCCAGACCAGCCCGCTACTGACAGGACTATTTACCCACGGATATCAAACAGATCCATTCTTCACAGGAGGAAACTCGCAGCAGCCAAGGGAGTCTATTACGTAAAAGCTGGGACCGAACGCATCTGGGTACCAGGGTACACACTACTACGGGAATTACTGTTACAGGAGGCACACGACGGAGTTACCTCGGGACATTTCGGAGTAGAGAAAACACGGCAGCAGCTGCAGCGGTATTATTACTGGCCCGAAATGTTGACCGACGTGCAACGACACGTGGCATCGTGTCCTACTTGCCAGATCATGAAGTCAACCCGGAAGCGGCCGGCGGGACAGTTGCAACCAATCCCACCTCCAGAGCGTGCTTGGCAGCAAGTGACGATGGACTTCGTCACGGGGTTACCGGCCGGGGCGAGTGGGAATGACGCAATCCTGGTCGTCGTCGATCGACTGACGAAAATGGCACACTTCGCAGCCTGGAAGAAATCAATCACAGCCGAAGAAACAGCCCGCCTCTTCATCTCTACCGTCGTTCGACTGCACGGGATACCAGCATCAATCATCAGCGACAGAGACACGAAGTTTACTTGCAACTTCTGGCGGAACCTGTGGCAGCAGTTCGGCACGCGCCTACAGTTCAGTTCATCGTATCACCCTGAAACCGACGGATAGACCGAACGGACAAACCAGACCATGGAACAGCTCATTAGGGCCACGTGTGATGATCCAAACACGTGGGAACAGCAACTGCCACTCATCAAATTCGCATACAACAACGCCCCATCCGCCACGACCCAACATTCGCCATTTTACCTGAATTACGGACAAGACCCAACAGTACCCATGACCCCGAATCCCGACAACCCCGTTCCACGCTCACAACAGTTCGCTGAGATTTTGCAAGCAGCACGAACCAGGGCAGCAGAAGCAATCAAAAAATCAAACATCATCGCTAAACGCAACGCTGACCGCCACCACAGACCTGTCACTTACCAGCCCGACGACCTCGTTTTACTCGACACTCAAAACCTCCGCCTGCCCATCACCCCCAAACTCCGCCCTCGATACTGCGGGCCATTTCGAATTAGCCATATGATAACACCTGTCACCGCGCACCTCCTCCTCCCTGCTGACTGGTACGTCAGCCCCTCGTTCCACGTCAGCCTGCTTCGCCCTTACGTACCATCCACAAGCCAACTCCCACGAAATCGCCCAGCCAGCATGGCTCGTCCGCCAACCGAACCAATCATCATCCCCGACAAAATCCTGAGCCACAGAGTTCGCGACCCTCGAGGAGCCCGAAAGATCGAGTTCCTGCTCCGCTGGAAAGACCGTACACCCACCGAGGACAACTGGGTTCCCCTGGACAGAATTGAAAACCACCCTGTTCTCACCGAATATCTGCGCAGCCGAAACTTCAGGGACGTCCACGCTCTTTCGTAAAAAGGACCTCCTTAGGAGGGGGGGTAGTGTAAGGAAAATCCCTTTTCCTTACTTCGCATCCCTGCTCAACGCGTACATCATTGTAGCACCTCAGTCAGCACCGTTACCACTCGCGATCCTCGCATCGACAATCATCCCGCCATCTTCGCACATCGCACCCCGACCTCACGGCTCGGCTGGTAACCCGCGCTCCGGGCCTCCACTTCGACACTTTCCCAACCTCAGTCCCAGGCTCGTCGCACGACAACCACAGTCCATTACCGTTACCACTGTAGTTTCGCTATATATTCTTCGCTCATGCCTTCGCTCATTGTATTCTTGCTTCGATAGTGCAATTCTCGTTCGTCCACTCAATTGCACTCGTAACAGATAGAATAGATAGTACATACATAAGAATTGGAGCATTCAGGTGATGTGGATTTCCGTCCTGCACGTGTGACTTTCAAATACCTCAAACTGCCTCATCCTTTCTGCCTTTGGTTGGGTGTGACCGATTCGAGAAAGACACTTTGCTAGGCTGTCTAGTTTCGCACACGATTTTCCTGTGCAGCCGAGATTGTCCCAATCCCGCCACCACTCCCGCCACCACTCCCGCCACCACTCCCGCCACCACTCCCGCCTTTGTGCCCGCCACAACCGTCGGCCATCATGTCGCATTGCGTGTCGCGCACGCTTCCAGGGGCTCAAATGCTCGCGCCATTGCGTCGCGCCTCCCCTGCCCTGCCGCCGCCCCTCGCTCTCACCGCGCCACATGCGTTCCGTCACGCCGCCAGTCAACGCGAGTCAACGCGTCGGCGGGTGGCGGTCAACGCGGCGGCCAACGGTCCACCGCCGCCAGAGGCCGCGTCGCCGCGCCCGTCGGAGCCGGAGCCGGCCGGCGAGCCCCGCGGCCCGTCGAACGCGGCGGCGCCATCCAGCGGAGCGGCGGCGCCCGTCGCGGCGTCGTGGGCGGCGGCGCTAGCAGGCGTGGAGGTGATGGCGTTGGACGGCACGCGAGTGGCGCTGACATCGCTGTGGGCGACGAGGCGCGTGGTGGTGGCGTGGACGCGGCACTTCGGGTGAGACAGGCGCTGCTGAAGCACCCAGCTGCGCGCGCTGAGGGGGTGGGGGGTGGCTGCTGGGGGTGGAGGTGGGGGGAGAGCGGGTAGGGCGAAGTTTAAAGAAGCCATTTCATCCCAATCGCACCATCATCATCCCTTATCCATACCAACCTCCTCCCCGCATCCCGTCCGTTTCCATGCCATGCCATGCGTTGCCATGCCATGCCATGCCATGCCATGCCATGCGTTGCCATGCCATGCCATGCCATGCCATGCCATGCGTTGCCATGCCATGGTGTGGTCACACCTCGCGTGCCTATGTGTGTGGCATGGCTTGTGACCGCGTTGATTGATCTCCAATTCCTTCCACTCTGTGATCTCGCCCTTGCATTCACTATGCACTGCTCGCACCTCTCGCTTCTTGCCCTCCATGTGCATTGCCCTCCCCTGCCCATGTCGCCCTGCCAGCTGTCTCCTCTGTCGCAAGCTAACCACCATGCTGGCCAATGAGAAGGTGGGGCAATGAGAAGGTGGGGCAATGAGAAGGTGGGGCAATGAGAAGGTGGGGCAATGAGAAGGTGGGGCAATGAGAAGGTGGGCGACTTGTTGCTTTCTGCCTCCACGCTTGCTGTCTCGTTGCTGCGTGCTCTCTGATGAAACTCCTATCGCTTGGCAGCTGAAGTTTCTCTGATCGCTCTACCTCTGCATCTCTGCCATGTCCTCGTTATTGTCAGGATGCGTTTCAAGCAGCAGGCGTGACTCTCATCATCATTGGGCCGGGCTCCATCCAACATGTGAGCTGCCACGCCTGCTGTGTTGCACTCAATGGTGACGCATTGCACCTTGTCGCACTCAATGGTGACGCATTGCACCTTGTCGCACTCAATGGTGACGCATTGCACCTTGTCGCACTCAATGGTGACGCATTGCACCTTGTCGCACTCAATGGTGACGCATTGCACCTTGTCGCACTCAATGGTGACGCATTGCACCTTGTCGCACTCAATGGTGACGCATTGCACCTTGTCGCACTCAATGGTGACGCATTGCACCTTGTCGCACTCAATGGTGACGCATTGCACCTTGTCGCACTCAATGGTGACGCATTGCACCTTGTCGCACTCAATGGTGACGCATTGCACCTTGTCGCACTCAATGGTGACGCATTGCACCTTGTCGCACTCAATGGTGACGCATTGCACCTTGTCGCACTCAATGGTGACGCATTGCACCTTGTCGCACTCACTCCGTCTCATACTGCGAATGCTCACTTCACTTCTTGTTTCTTCTTCATGCCGCCCGTCTCAACTTGCTGTGGTGCAGGCGCAGCAGTTTGTTGATCAAACCAACTTTCCAGGAGGTGAGCACATGGGCCGCTCTGCCTCTCTGCCTCTCTGCCTTCCTCGTGCCTGCACTCGGCCCTTGCTGCCACACTGTTGCCTCTCTGCTCTCCCCACAGCACCAAATGCTCCCACTTGCCTTAGGCCTTTTTTAGTATCCAATAGCACTGTGCATTCTAAAGGTCGGTCCTCCCAAGTTGTCAAGCTCGTCCTCCCCACCTGCAAGTTGTCAAGCTCGTCCTCCCCACCTGCAAGTTGTCAAGCTCGTCCTCCCCACCTGCAAATTGTCAAGCTCGTCCTCCCCACCTGCAAGTTGTCAAGCTCGTCCTCCCCACCTGCAAGTTGTCAAGCTCGTCCTCCCCACCTGCAAGTTGTCAAGCTCGTCCTCCCCACCTGCAAGTTGTCAAGCTCGTCCTCCCCACCTGCAAGTTGTCAAGCTCGTCCTCCCCACCTGCAAGTTTTCAAGCTCGTCCTCCCCACCTGCAAGTTATCAAGCTCGTCCTCCCCACCTGCAAGTTGTCAAGCTCGTCCTCCCCACCTGCAAGTTGTCAAGCTCGTCCTCCCCACCTGCAAGTTGTCAAGCTCGTCCTCCCCACCTGCAAGTTGTCAAGCTCGTCCTCCCCACCTGCAAGTTGTCTCTGCTTCAAGTTGTCATCCACCCCCCCAACGGTGCAACCCCATCCCACACATGCGACGGCCATCAGAGGTGTATGCGGACCGCCAGCGTGCATCATACGAGGCGCTGCAGTTCGTGTCGGGCCTCTCCACCGTCTTCTCTCCCACCGTCAGTCCCCTCCCCTCTCCGCCCTCGCTTCCCCTCTCCGCCCTCGCTTCCCCTCTCCGCCCTCGCTTCCCCTCTCCGCCCTCGGACGAGTGCCTTTGTTCCAAATCACTAATCATGCTGCTGCTCTTGATGGCTTGATGGGATGAGTGCTTCTCCATTTTCCATGTTTTGCCAATCTGACCCCACCCCTCCCATCTGACCCCGCCCTGCCCATCTGCCCGTGATGCTGCAGGCGGCGCTGAGTGTGGCGAGGGCGCGCATGGAGGGCTTCCAGCAGGACTGGGGGCTCTCGCTGCAAGCTGACACTGTGCTCAGGGCGGCGTGGTGAGTGCTGGGGGGGGCGTGGTGAGTGCTGGGGGGGGCGTGGTGAGTGCTGGGGGGGGCGTGGTGAGTGCTGGGGGGGGCGTGGTGAGTGCTGCGCCGGGGGTGATGGCAATGTGCAGGAGTGCAGTTGACAACGGCGCAGCATTACGCAAACTGCCTTTGTCTATACGTTGCCTAACGTCAAGCCATGCAGGTTCTGTTAAAGTGAATTTGAACTGCATGCCAACACTGCATGTGAACGGCCTGCACATGCCGTGGGTTGATATTCATAGATTGTTAAGAATTCCCCTCCTGTTCTGTGCATGCCGTGTGTGCCTTCCTCATGTGCCACGCCACCATCACAGGCAGCAGGGTGGCATCATAGTGGCGGGACCGGGCATCGACAACCTGCTCTTCCTGCACAAGGTGCCCTCACATGCTTCTCACCTGCTTCTCACATGCTTCTCACATGCTTCTCACATGTTTCTCACATGTTTCTCACATGTTGCTCACATGTTTCTCACATGCCCCTCACCTGCCCCTCACCTGCCCCTCACCTGCCCCTCACTTGCCCCTCACCTGACCCTCACCGCGTTCTGTTTGCTAGCTTATGGGGCCTCTGGTTGCATCACGCACGCGACACACATGTGGGCATCACACGGCTAACAGCCACCCTCACCCCCTCTCTCCCATCCCCGCAGGACAAGGAGGCGGGCGATGAGCCAGATGTGCGCGACATCATTGCTGCCGCCCGCCTACCTCTGCCGTGATATAGCTTTGTCCGTGCTGGTTACGATAAGGGTTAGTGTAAAAAAAGAACATTTTTATATTTCTTTATATAATTTGACTGTAGTTGTTTGTTTCAGCTGTTGGTGGTGCACCTTGTGTAAACCTTGCCCCTTGCGTGTATTCTTCTTGATCATTCTTACGGTATCAAATCCCTTTTTGCTCTTATAACTTTCCAAACTCCTAACACCTCCTATTCTCCTACTTTAGCGTGGTATCTGACGAAAATATCCAAAGGTTGCTTTCTCCCCGACGGCTTCGTCGCATGCCCCCCTGCTCGTCGTGATCTGCTACAGCTTGAGCGCGATGGTCACAGCTGGCGCGCGGGCACGTCTACTGGAGCGCGGGCGCGCCAGCAGGTGCCGCGCAAGGGCTGTTGCCGCCGCTGCTGCGTGATCGCTCTGCTGGCACCCGTGCGCCTCTGGTGGAACGTGGTGTCAAAACTGTGTTTAGACAGGATATTGTTAGGCTCTGGTGGGGCTAGCCTTAGGGGGTACAACTTTCTAGGGTTTCCTATTTGTAATCTCATCCTGTTAGTTCATCTCATTCCTGTTTGGTACATTCTTAATATGGTATCCAAGACTAGGTTAGAACCTATAAGCCCTACCTACTGCCGTACTCACTGCCGAACCTACTGCCCCATACTGCCCCACACGCACGTTCCCCCACGCTGCCCCTAGCGCGCTGCTTTTCGTGCGCCTCGCATTGCCGTGTGCCCCGTCCCGTTCGCACGCGTGTGCTGTCCTGCCCTGCCCCGCACTGCTATGTGCACCACGCGCTGCCCTGCATTGCCCTGCGTGCCGCGTGCAGCTCTTCACACTGCCCCGCACGTGCCACCGTTGCCCCTGCCTGCGCGCGCCACTACTGCCCCTGCCCATGCGACGCTTCTGACTGCGCGCCGCTGCTGCTCGCGTGCAGCCCCTGCCCTGCGCGCCGCTGCTACTCGGTGCCGCCATTGCTGACACGCCGCCGCAGCCCGCGCGCCGACGCTGCCTCGTGCGCAGCTGCTGCCGGCCGCCGCCGCTGCCTGTGCGTTGCGCTGCCCCGTGCGCCACCACTACCAGGCGCCGCTGCTGCAGCAGCTACAGCCGCAACTGCTGCCGCTGCTACAACCGTCGCTGCTACTTCCGCTACAGCAGCCACTGCTGCTGCTATAACTGCCGTCGCTGATGTTGCTGCAGCCGCCGTCCCTGCCGCTACAGCCGCTGCCACTGCAGCTGCCGCCGCTGCTGCCACTACAGCTGCTGCCGCTGCCATTTCAGTCGTCGCCCCTGCCGCTACAACTGTCGTCGCTGCAAAATCAGCAGCCGCTATAGTTGCTGCGCCGCTGCCGCTACAATCGTTGCCACTGCCGCTGCAGCCGGCACCGCTACTGTTCCCGCTGCTGCCGCCTCTGCCGCTACAACCGCCGCTGCCGCTGCAACTGGTGCCACCACTACAACTCCAACCGTTGCCCGTGTCAGAAGTATAGGCAGGAATGAATGAACTATGGAAGAGTTGGGTACAAATATCAAACCCTAGAAGGGGTTGTACCCCATATTGGCCACCCCACTACAGCCTAAACCTATATAGCATACATAATCTAACACACCCCCATAGGAAAAGTGGGGGAGACCAAGGGGTCACAAGACCAGTCAAGAGAGGCAAAGCAAGCTCAGGGTGGATCACAACGTCACCACACACTCTGAGCACAAGCAAAGGGCCACAAGGCCAGTTCGCATGCAGAGATATATATGCAACAACAACAGTACAGTGATCTCTACCTAGCAGAGCAAACAAGCAGGTGTATATATATATATATATATATATATATATATATATATATATATATATATATATATATATATATATATATATATATATATATATATATATATATATATATATATATATATATATATATATATATATATATATATATATATATATATATTATATAGATCACAGTATAAGCAGAGTCTACAGCAAGTGAGGAAACGTGGGCACAAGGCCCAGCAAGGTACAAAAGCGCTGATGATCACCAGGCGGAAGTGCCTTGGTGAATATATCAACAGTGTTGGCCCGAGTGGCCACGTAGGTTACACGAAGTTGACCACGCTGCTGCAACTCTCGAGCAAGGAAGTAATGCAGAGCGATGTGCTTCGTTCTGTGCTCCAGTTTGTGCTCCTGACACAAGGCAATGGCGGCCTTGTTGTCGACGTACAGCACCGGAGGAGAACGAGGCCGCTCTCCCAGGTCGGTCAGCAGGTAGGTGAGCCAGCGTAACTCCTGTGCAGCCATGGCTGTGGCGTAGATCTCAGCCTCACAACTGGAGCTGAGAACAGAAGACGAGCGTGTAGAACGCCAAGAGACTGAACCAGAGCCAAGGCTGAAGGTGTAACCCTGTGACGACCGCTGAGTAGCCTGGTCGTCAACACAAGAAGCGTCCAAGTGACCAGTGAGGACAACCTCACTCCGCCCTCCATGCACGAGCCCCATGCCTGATGTACTGCACAAGTAACGTAGTACCCTCTTTGCAGCATCCATGTGCACCTTTCGGTGCCGACCATAAGCCACGTAGCGAGCCAGAAGGCCAAGAGGGTACGCGAGGTCAGGACGAGTGCAAGTACATGAGGCAGCCAACTAGCTCTGGGTAAGGACCACTCGGCTCTACGGACTCGTCCGAAGGTGGAGCTGAGAGCGAGTGACCTTTAGCCAAAGGAGTGGCCTGTGCTGAGGACCAAGTGAAGCCGAAGAGCTGAAGGACCTGCTGCACCATGTGTGACCAAGTCAGGGTGATGGTGCGGCGTGCTCTGTCCCGGGTGATATGCAAGCCAAGGTAACTGCGCAGCTCACCCAGGTCTGTGCACGTGTGTCTCTTTTGCAGCTCCGACTTCACCAGGGTGAGAGCCTCAGTGTCAGCAGTGGCAAAGACCAAGTCATCGACGTACACGAGGATGTAGAACGACGGCAGCAAAGTGTCGGTGCGAAGAAACATCGACGGGTCAGCAGTCCCAAGAGCCGCTAGTGTCGTCCTCAGTGTGTCGTGCCACTCACACGGCGCCTGGCGGAGACCGTAGACCGGCCGCCGGAGACTCCACTGGGTACCAGGAGGGAATGACCCAGTGAAGCCAGGCGGGCGGCGCAGCCATATCTCCTCATGCAGGCTGCCCTGCAAGAAAGCTGTGCCGAAGTCAAGAGAGTGAAGCTCGTAGTCACGCCGAGCAGCAACGTGCAGCAGCACCCGAAGAGTGGTCATCTTCGGGGTGGGGGAGAAGGTCTGGAAGAAGTCAACCCCCTCTTGCTGTCTGAAGCCTCGAGCAACGTAACGAGCCTTGAAGACAGGCGGGGAACCTGGCGGCCGCTTCACCCTGAAAATCCACATGCCACTGATGATGTTCGCCCCGGGAGGGGGAACCTCGTCGACGTAGGTGCCCGTGGACTTCCAGGATGCCATCTCTGCATCCATGGCTGTCTGCCACTGAGAGGAGTACTCACCCGCGATCGCCTCAGCGTAAGAGCGCGGGGTCGGGATGTCTGGAGCATCCGGGTCTCCCTCAGGGCCAAACAGCATGGACACGAGATGAGGCGCAGTGGCTGCAAGACACTCAAGGTCCTCCTGCCTGTCCTCAAGGACGTCCGTGCCAAGAGCACACCCACCCCCGACGGACGGAGGATAGACAGACTCAGACTCAGCAACAAGACTAGCGGCGTAGTCTAGACGACAGGCAGCAGCAAAGTCAACCAGCTCAGCGACCAAGGCAGACGCAGCAGCAGACTCAAACGACGGGTTAGTGACAACAGTGGCTAGGAGACGCGTGACAGTAGAGTGAGCAGCACGGGTGCGGTCAGACTCAGGCTCAGGGACGGTAGGCAGAGAAGACGCAGGAGGGGAAGGCAGGGGAACACGGTGCGGAGGAGAGGAAGGACCACGGACGACAAGGCGAGTGCCGGTGACAGTCTGCTGACGCGAACGAGGGACACTACGACCGTAATGACCAGACCGGACAGACGAAACAGGACGCGACGCAGGCTCACGACGCTCAGTAAGACCCCCTGATTGCTCAGTGTAAGGCGAAGGAGCAGGCAATGGTGAGCCAGGCTGTAACGGAAGACCAGTAGACGAAGGGAGACAAACAAACCTGGCGAAGCACAGAGTCAGGCGGTGGCTGAGACGACGGAGCAAAGAACTGGCGCGGCTGGGCAGTGTCACCAGCACCAGCAGCTCCAGTACCTCCAGCAGCTCCAGAACCCTCACCTCCAGCTCCTCCAGGACCAGCTCCACCAGCAGCAGCACCCCCAGAACCGGCACCTCCAGTCCCAGGGTCTCCATCCTCAGTGTCTCCAGCAGCAGCACCCCCAGCTCCAGGGTCGCCAGCAGTAGTAGCCTCCGGCTCAGCAGCACCTCCAGCCCCAGCAGCTCCAGTACCTCCAGTACGAGCACCTTCGGGACCAGCACCACTCCCAGCTCCAGTGACAGCAGCAAAAGTACCTCCAGCGGCAGAGCCTCGAGCTCCAGAAGCACGACCCTGACGGCGACCGTACCAGTTGTGCAGCTGCTGTGAGGTGAGAGGCACACGCGGACGAAGGCGGCTACTCCAAGGCGACCGCACAACAGCAGACTCAGAACCCTCAGCGCCAGCACCCGCAGCAGCTCCAGAACCTCCAGCAGCAGCACCCTCAGCAGCTCCAGAACCTCCAGCGCCAGCACCCTCAGCAGCTCCAAAACCTCCAGTAGAAACGACTCCAGTAGTAGAGTCACCAGCGCCAGCGCCTCATGCAGTAGGGCCCCTAGCTCCAGCAGCGCGACCCTGACGGCCAGCGTACCACTCACGCAGCTGCTGTCGGGAGAGAGGGGGTCGACGACTAGAGTGCAGCGGCGAGGCACCAGCGGAGCGACTGCGGAGACGGCCGCTCCAGGGAGACTGCTCACCAGACTCCTCAGTGCCCCTAAGCGCAGCACCTCCAGACCTAGTACCCCCAGGCTCAGCACCCCCAGACTCCT